GTAGTTGAAAATTAATATTGAGTATATATTCTTAGTAAAATAAAGCCCCTGACATTATTTTTGTCTACCCAAACATACATATATAGCACAATACGATATAAGGTTTCACTTAAAGCACAATACATCATGTCAATTGTTGATTCATCAAGAACATAAGGATTGAATTAATCTATGCAATTTGATCTTAGTATTTATTATAAGAATAGGTTATTATACTTACCATTTTTTTGGCCTACCTTTGTCTATCACTCTCTAAAACCGTTAGATCAGAATCTCAATTATTTTTATCATTTCTCTCATGTTGAAATCTTCATCCAATGGTCTTGGAGAGTGGTAGACAAATGTAGGCAGAAAAAATAGTAGATAGAATAACATATTCTTTTATTATATGGGAAAATTAGGTGTATAGTGAATATAAGATTTTGTCTCGTCACCGCATTATAACTATATATGTATTCTAGAGAATACATAATTATAATGTTAAGTTTTACTTTTTTTTCTCTCTTCATAAATTTGTCTGTTGACGTGACAAGTGAAAAAAAAATACAATTTTAATATTATAATATGTATTGCTCGCAGTACAAAGTTATATTTAGTGGACAAAGCATTATATCCAGGACACCAGATTGACGCTTATTATATTTCATTTATACTAGTATTTTAATACTTGGCAAGCAAAGGACCGGAATTCAATGGTTTTATAATATATTGCCAGCTTGTTACCGTTCTGTCCTGATTGTGGTTCAACATCTGAAAACAGAAAAGAAGAATAAGTGAAGAGGTTCACGAAATGCATTTCAAAACAAGAGACGTTTGAGGTCTTCGCGTATTAGGTTGGTATATACAAAGTTTTAGGACTCACTGATCCAGCCTGTTTCTAATTGATGCCAACCAAAATCCAACATCTGCTTTTAATTATTTCTTCTTTCAAGCATTAGTCATTATTTTAATACCAATTTCACCTTTAAGGATTGTATTTATTTAACTAAACATACCTTTTTCATCTCTAACTGCTCCCGCATCTTGCTGTCAATTATTTATAAAATACACAGATGTAAACAAATTTGATTGAGTTTTGTGTTAAACTTTTGACTTTGCTGCTCCAAATATAGATAGCGCATGAATATACATCTCGTGTGGGAGAAGGAAGGAGACATTAATTTTTCTTTTATTTTGACTTACGCAACTTGAAAGTGGTAGTCACTTTTATCTCTGGAAGCTGAGTAAGTAAAATGAATACCTTCATCTTCCCCGTATATAGTCATATCCTAAAAGGTAGGTTAAGGTGTGGGTGTGAAACTAAATACTTTTTGAGAACAATAACTTTGTTTAATATTTTAAAGAACACAATTTTGTGTGATTTTGAGTGAAACATCATATTTTAGTGCATATTTGATGATTTTTTACACTTTATCTCGTGTGTAATACTTTTTGTTTATTTCTTCTCTTAATGTATATTGTTGGAATTATTTAAGTATGAGTTATAAAGAAGTACCACATCGGCTAGACATGGACCAAGTGATGACTATATAACTGCAAAAGACTCATAATCTTACAGTCTTAAGATTTTGAGATGAGAATGTGGTGTCAGGGTCGAAATGATGGTCCCCCACCACGAGCTTTCCTTGGACTCGCCTGACTTTGGTCTCAAAGCCAAAGATTTGGCTGGGCCAAAGATTTAGAGATAGTGATATTTCAAGGCCTCCCCATAAGGAGAGCATGATGTTGAGTCTTCATATTTAATGATTTTTCACACATTCTCTCATATGCAATATTTTTTGTTTATTTCTTCTCTTAATTTCATGAAATAGATATTTGATGATTTTTTACCTTCTCTCTCCTCCATAATACCCTATCTTTATCTTTTTTTTTAATTTTGTGGAAGAGAAAGAATAGGCTAATAAGTATATTAAATACCGTTTTATTTGAAATGACCCAATTAAAGTTTAACAAATATTTTTTCCCCTTAAAACAAAGTGATCGATAGTTGAAAATATTTCACATCACAAGCCAAGCTAGCTAAGTGTTAACTTCGATATATACCTGATGAAGACCCTATTACACACATGTTAGAGAATTAATAATGAAAAATTGCAGAAATTAAGGCTTTGTCGGATTTTATTCTTTTTAAAAAAATATTTTACAAAATAAAAGTATTAAAAAATCTTGTTTGATGAATTTTTTTTTTTTTTTTTTAGAATTTAATTTGAAAGTTTGAGAATGCTGGGATTACAGTGATAGAGGTGAGGTGGCTCGGGGAGGGCAGCATTTGTGGCTCCAACAATGCGGTGGTTTGAAGTGAGAATAGAAAATACATTAAAACAAAAATAACTAAAATTGATTTTTTTTTTATTCTAAAAATAAATTATAGAAAACAAGTTTTTAAAACAATAAAATATAAAGTAATTAGTACCCAAACAAGTTTTATTTTATAGAAAAATATTTATGCAATTACTGCATATAAGTTATCTGCATTTTCTTCCAAAACGACGTCATTTTGGGATTGAAATATTAAAAAATTATAATTATAAATATAAAGACTATAATAACCCTGAAAAAATTAAAATTACAAAAGCACCATGATTTTCGTCCCAAAACAACGTCGTATGAAGCTTATTGCAGAAAAAATGAACCCTTTATTTTATATATATTTTAGTTATTGAAAAAAAAATTGTTTTTAGAACCAAAATCAAATAGGACCTAAGCTTCTTTCGTGTTTATGTATATATCCATACTTTAGAGAGCAGGGACTTCACAATGAAAAATGTACATACGTATAAGGGATGCGATGGAGAAGACATCACTATAGGGCCTGCTTCTATCTATGCACCGACATGGTACAGATAGCCAGATACGGATTGCTAGGCACCGTTTTTTTTATGATGTTTCTTTTGCAAATTTTTTTTATTATGATCTTAAGATGTTAATTGATTATTATTATTATTATAAAGAAATTCTAATATATACCATGTGTGGGGAAAATAGTAGGTTAAAATGCAGAGATAACTACTTGAATCAAACAATCATCAAAGGTATCAAATGGATGTCAGTTGCAGTATTAAAAGTGACTGCTTGAACCCCAAATGTTGAAAGTTTGATCCTTAGATAAACACTACTAGATAGACCTTTGATTTTTCACTACACCAGGGTCGAAATTGTGAAAGCAATATATACATTTTAAAAAAAATAAAAAATCATCAAAGGCACTTAATGCCATTCAAGGCTTGTCTAAACATTTCAAAACGGATTTTTGATAAGTTTTCAAAATTAATTAATCACAATTTACTTCCTATCGATCGGATGTCTTCTGTAATTTAAGAGAACCTTAGAAGTGCTCTCGTAGTCTGGTCATTCTAATCATTTTGTGAGACTTGTGCAAGTATGTTACATTGATTGCTATTTGGATGATCGATTTTGTTCTTTCCTTATTTTATAATCATAAGAACTCCTTATTAATTTAGAATAAAAACGAATTAATAGTTTCATTTCCAATTTTAATTCCACATAAACAACAATTATCATGCTCTGCCAAAGATGTGAGTTGACAAATTCAATGAACAGAATTAAAATTTTATTTTATCTTCTGTATATTTTTGTAAAGAACCATTTCAACTTAAAACCTTAAAGTGTTGGGTGAGTGCCTTTTTAATTGTTTATATATATTATTCTCTAACACATCTTCTCACAAAAAAAAATTTGAGTTTGAAATGTGGATATTGCACAGACCCAATTTTTTTTTGTTTACATTGTGCTTATTTTAATTCCACTCGAAAGTGGAGTGCGGTGAGGATGTTGGATGAGAGCCTTCTTGATGATTTATATTATTCTCTAATAATTTTTGTCATTCATAATATATGAGTTCGTTTTATCCTTATTTTATGTATAGGAATCACAGAAGCAAAATAGAATGGAATAGATGAAATGCAATCCTTGACAAAATCGTAAGATGATATAAACAAGTTTCTCAATTCTAACTCATTATCGTTTTTTATGTAAGCAGTGTATAAAAAAATGCTTAAGCTATATATGTTGCATGAACTAGTGAGACATCGAATTATGTGTAATAATTTTTATTTTATTTTATTTTTAACGGATGATGGGTATCACATTTTGTCTATAGTAAGAAAAAAAAATCTTCCACAACATGAGAAAAAAAAAATTCTTAAATTTTTAAGCATAAATATTTTCACGATGTGCTATGGAATGTATATCTTAATCGATTTGAGAGGACAAGGAGCACATTAATTCTTTGCTTGACTTTTTGTTTTGGTTTACTTTGTTTTGCTACTGACTTTTCACGATGTGCTAGTCAACCATCCTCTCTCTCTCTCGCCTCATAATTAGATGCATACTCAGAATACGTATTTTTTATTTTTACATGACATAATCATATAAAAATTTTGTGTCTATCTCTTTTGTCATTGATGATAATTAAACCCTATTTATTTAATAAATATGAAGATAGAACTAGACACAAAAATTTCACATTACTAATTCATGTAAAATTTTAATAAGAAAAGATTAACTCCATATTAATGATCCACCTAAATAATTAGGCCGGCCGCATATATAATAAATATATTGGAGTATGCTGAAATAAGAGTTTTATAAAAGTATGTAGATGCTTTCAATGATCAAAGTTTCCCAGAAAGAACGGGGTTGAATATGTTTAATGCAAATGTATCAGCTAACTAAATGCAATGTTTCAATACATGACAAACAATGATGTCAACGGTGTGAAGGTCATAAGAAAATTGAGCACACATGGGTCAAAAATAAATCCAATAAAGAAGTTTCCAAATTCCAGCTACCGACTGAATAACAAATTTCCATTTTGCCCCCCTCCCCCCCTCCTTTTTTTAATGTCATCTGAAACTATACAATAACTCATAACTCAACAAGATAATTAAACCATGCCCTATATCTCCCTTATGATCCCAATCTTCTGTATCAGTGAAACAGTAACCTAATTAAATATAGCAATAAATGCCAAGAATTTATTAATCTAAGAAGTAGTTGAATAAGTCTATAGATGGAGTATGAGGAGAAACAAAGTTTGAAGGGCTAGGCAAGAAGAAACTACCACCCTCCATAAAATTTCTGCTACTGTGAAGAACGGGACTCAAATCATGAAGGAAGCTAACCATGTTCGGATCCGAAGACGGCGGCGAGAAAAAGTTCGACGGAATGGGAGACAGTGAAGCCGGCGCCGGAGACAAAATCCCTTGAAACATACTTGGTCTCTCCAACCCTTGTTCCATCATCTCCATCACTTGCACATCGTTAATATCAGTATTTGAGATCTGTTTCTTACCCAAAGGAGACATAGCTTTCTCTATGGTGGCGTAACGCGCCGCCGGTGATATCATTCCGCCGCTACCGTCGCCGTTGAAGGGGTCAATCATATGGGATGAGGAGGAAAAGGTGGAGGAATTAGAAGATGATGAAGACGAAGAAGAAGAAGAAGAAGAGCCAGTGAGGCGCTGAACAAGGTTCATGAAATCACCCGGTGTGGTGTGAATTATCTTTGGGGAAACGGTGTAGATTATGATGGGTTGGCGCGGTGGAGGTTGGGGTTGTTGTGGCGGCGCCAACGGTGGTTTCTTGATCTTATGAGAGTCTCTGTGTATTCTAAGAGGTGTGGGACGAGGGCCTTGGAGTTCTCTTCTTGGTGATCTTCCTGTGGGGTTAAAGTCTGGGAAGTGATCCATGTTGTTGCTACTAACAATATGAGAGAATTGTGAAGAGGGAAGAGAATTGAATTAAGGGGTGAAAACTATAGATCGAGCAGGTGAGGGACAAGCAAGCATATAATTATTCTAATCTAAACTTTGGAATATAAAGGGGTGACACGAAACATATAAAGAGATCTGGTCAATGATGAAGAGGGATTATTATTTTAATGAGAGATACATTTGTTGGTAAAATTAATTTGTCTTCTTCTCAGGTAAATATTTTATAGGGGTTTCATACCTACGGCCGGTTTCGTGATGTTATGGTTGTCTGAACGCGTCTCTGTGTGTGTATAGAGTTGGAAAGGGTCGTGAGTGTCATTTTAGTATATACGATGGTGTGGGCAAGTAAAGCTCCTCTTTGTTGGATGCAAGTGGTTAACTGTGTTGACTAAGCTTCACACTAGTTATTATTTGCTATATGTGGGGTTTATATGTGAAGGTTATGCAGTGAATCTAACGATAGAGCGGTCCTAGAACTTCAATTCTCTTTTTGTACAACATTACTATTTATGTGACAGTGTAATTGTGTTTCTTATGATTTATTAATGATTAGTTAATAGTTAGCAATTAGTTACTTTTTCCCATTTTATGTATAAGTTCATATATTAAGTTTAGTAAAAGGTTATATTGACAAACTTTTTTTCTTATAAACTACACTAAGTTGACTAGTTATACACTCTTGATTAAAATATGACTAGTCTTTGTAAGTTTGTAAAAGAAAAAATTTATTAAGTTTATATCACGCACTTTTTATCATTTTATTAATTAATGTCAGATTTTTATTATCACATCTTTTCTGAATGTTACATGTTTCTTTATTGATCATTTGGTAAGGTACGACTATATTACTAGGCTTTCTGGATGGTGGCAAGCTGAATGATACGTACAAGTGGAGTGAGTCTCATTCGAGAAGGATCCACTTTAATTTCTTACCTGTTCGAACGAATTCATACGACTTCTATTCGTAGATTGCATGTGTCCAACTAAGTCTTCATCTCTTTCTTTTATTTGTAATGGGAACAACTATGAAACAAACATTATGAATTTTTAAATCATTAAGTTCAGGTATTACCTTTATTTTTGTGTTGACAAAATATATAGTCTCGTCCACGAGATGTGAACAAAACTTGTTTTCTTTTATATAAACAAGCACCATGAGCTGATTCTAATGATTACCTGTTTGTTATAAACTCAACAGCTATTTTCTTTCTAATCAAGTTTAAGACTTGAGATGTTTGGAAAATAAATACATATATTGTATGTACAAATATTTTTTTGTATACAAAAGTTGAAATTGAACACATAACCTAATACAAACTATTCAAACTCCTCACCGCTATACCAATCAGAGTGGCTTTGTATGTATAAATATTTAATTATAAAGATGAAGGTCAATTTAAATCTTTTTGGTTTTTGCCATTCTCCCCGTTTTGTTTCGGCAAAATAGGACCGGTTACAGCCTCTTTAGAATTTTAATCAATGTAGCACAGCGTTTTATTTTTAGGTTCAATATATAATTATGATTTCTTACACATTTTTGTTAAAAAGAAGTATAATATTCTATTAAATTGATGCCGGTGGAGTTGCTAAATATCTTAATCAAACATGATAAATGTAAGGTAGTTTAAAAGTAATTTTTTAATGGACCGGGATTTAATTGAAAATTTATTAAAAATTTAATTTATGAATAACTTAGTTCATGTATTATGCTTTTAATGAATTTGGTGCAATTCACAGTATATAATAGTTTCTCATCGAAGAGAACTTAATTACTTGGTTGCAAGAAAAAAAAAATCTAAAGGGAAATAGCACGAATAATATCATAATGTGAATTAAATATTATGAAAAGATATTATTATTTTTAATTTTTAATTATACGTAATTTATAAATAAATAATAATGTAAAAGAAAATGTAACTTTTTACTATAAAAGTATTATTTATAGAATATTAAAACACTATTATCTATCAAATAATGCATATATCACTATCTCAGATCTTCTGTGTCTTGTCCCCTTCGTTAATTGAGGTAATCTGAATATTTTGAAGCATTGCATTAGCTCGGAAGCCCTTTACCTTTATGTTTATCAAAAAAGTCTCGTTTGACGGCATTACTAGTACTGAAAGCTGCTTGCGTGCTTTGACTCTTGCATTTATGACATATAAATCTAAGATAGCAAATGCAGTTTTTGCAAGTTTATGATTTTAGGTGTTAAATAATTAGCTCATGAATGGACCTTTTATTGCTGTTTGTATAAGGCAATACCCTAGGTTTACCGCCTTCCTCGAACGACATTCTCCTTATATTGTGCCGAAGAATTTCTTATTTTATTTTTTTGAATTCGGCAAGAGCAAACAAGAAATAAAAACATTTTGGATTCATTTTTTATGGAAAATATATTTCATTGTTTGTTTTGTTTTAGTATATGTTTTGAAAGACACTTTTTAAAATATTTTCTTATACTTGGCATAATAGTTTAAAAAAATAAACAAGTTTTTTTAATCAATTGATAGAACTTATTGAAAGAGGGAATCTAAGTAAAATGCTTTTACATGAATTTTTTTTAAAATAATCTTTAGGTGAAGGTGTCCGTTAACTCAACTAATAAAGTTTTACATGAGTTTCTCATATCATATATTGATGTGTCAAAAAACAACATAGATGGGCTGTGTTTCTTAGCTTGTCTAACTCCAGAACCACCAAATGCTACTTCACAATTAGCTAGGGTTTAGGAATTTCTAGAAGACGATCCTTTTACCAAGAAAGAACACTTGCTACTGCGGCACTGCCTACTACACAATTACCCTGCATAACAAAATTGCATCCTAAAAAGGTCTCACTCCTATTGATACAGGAACGAGTGATGAGAAAAAAATCTTCCATGCTACATATGTACCATATATGGTACATCTGTACAAAAGGAGAAATTTTTTGGGAATTTACATGAGAATAGAAATAGAAAAAAGTAATAGAGAAGATTTTTTTTTTCAAAAGTTGCAAAAAAGGAGTACCCAATGGGATACTTCCTCTGCACTCAAGTTTTGCTCGAGTATTGGGTCAGATATCTTGTCTAGTTTTGATGATAATACCACAAGTAAAGCTAAATCATCTAACAGTTTGTTTAGTTTTTGAAAAATTGTTGTATAACTTAATTTGTGATGAATTATGATGCAACAAAATTATCATGAAATCGTGAAGATTGAAGTTGAAAGATAAAATCTTAGATTTCGTGTAATTGTTGAATGAGGTGAATCTTGATCGTACCTTGAGTTAGAATCTTTAAAGTTTTGGAAACTAATGAAAAAAGATTTAAAAATTGTATATTTAATCCATATAGGTTTTTAAGGTTTGGTTTTTGATTTGAAAAAGAAAAAAAAAGTTAATTTTAGATTAATTTCTTTTTGAAAGATTTGATTTTATCTAATTTTGAAAAGTTAATTTGAAGAATTTGATTTTATTTTTAAAAAGATATTTTGGAAAATTTTCTTTAGAATATGATACAATATCTAGTGCAAAAATCTAGAAAATTTTCCTTAGTATTTGATTTTGAGAAAAAAAAGTTTATAAATATCACACCTTGAGTATTCAAAGTGTGGGTGAGCATTCAATAGAAAAACGCATTGAGCATATTATGACTCCTTCTTAGGGCACTTTCAAAATTATTTGGTAACCATGGCATGAATAGATTCATTGAGTCCACCACTTTGATTTTATTTGTACCTATTTGTTTATTATTTAGAAGCGTGTAAGGTAATCAATTTTAATTGGATTTTCTTATTGACCTTGGAAAAGGTCGTGACTTAGAAATAAGTTGGTCTTTGTTTAATGCAAATAAAGACGGGAGCTATTTGACTTCAGAGAGTCTTTGATTAGACTCTGAGAATCCTAGGATAGGGTTCCGGAAACCTAGGATTAGGTTTCGGGTTAATTCTTGTATAAGGGTAGAATAAGTTATATTCTTGTATTTTGAATTGATCAATAGTTGATTTGTCTCCCAATTAAATAAATGTATCCAAATTGGGGTTGTGAATTTTTTTTCTAGTTTGAGTTTTTCCATGTTAAATAACTTTCTTTACTCTTTATTTTATCGTTGTTGCATGCGTTTTTTTAATTTGCAAAATTTTTAATAAACTCAATTCAGTGATTCACCATCTTTTAAGTTCATGTGAGAAATGCTGAAATGGTAAACCTTCAATTCGTATTTAAAAATACATTACTCGGAACCTAGGATAGAGTTTTGGGTTAATTCTTGTATAAGGGTAGAATAAGTTATATTCTTGTATTTTGAATTGATCAATAGTTGATTTGTCTCCCAATTAGATAAATATATCCAAATTGGGGTCGTGGATTTTTTCCTCTAGTTTGAGTTTTTTCCATGTTAAATAACTTTCTTTACTCTTTATTTTATCGTTGTTGCATGCATTTTTTTAATTTGCAAATTTTTTAATAAACTCAATTAAGTGATTTTCCATCTTTTAAGTTCGTGTGAGAAATGTTGAAATGATAAACCTGTAATTCTTATTTAAAAATACACTACTCGAAACTTAGAATAGAGTTTTGGGTTAATTCTTGTATAAGGGTAAAATAAGTTATATTATTGTATTTTGAATTGATTAATAGTTGATTTGTCTTTCAATTAGATAAATGTATCCAAATTGGGGTCGTGGATTTTTTTCTCTAGTTTGAGTTTTTTTCATGTTAAATAACTTTCTTTACTCTTTATTTTATTGTTGTTGCATGCGTTTTTTTAATTTGTAAATTTTTTAATAAACTCAATTAAGTGATTCACCAGCTTTTAAGTTCATGTGAGGAATGCTAAAATGGTAAACCTTTAATTCGTATTTAAAAATACATTACTCGGAACTGTTAATTATCATTTAGCAGCCCTTCTCGTATAGCTTTCCTCGTTGAAGTTGTCAATGAACTGAACTAATCAACATGTTCAGTTATGAAATGAAACAAGTTGCTTTTAAACA